CTCCTTCCTGACTGCCCCCCGGGACCTCTGCCCCCATTCAACCCCCGTTCCCTGCCCTCTGACCACCCCGACCCCTATCCACACCCATGCCCCAACCACCACCCCAAACTCCCCTGCCCTCTATCCAACCCCCCCCCATTCCCTGCCCCCTTACCACGCCGCCCAGAGCACCAGGCCAGGCAGCCGCGCCGCCCGGCTGGAGCCAGCCACGCCACCGCACAGCGCAGAGACCGGGTCAGGCCCCGGCTCTGCAGCTCGCTGCCCCAGGAGCTCGCCCCGCCGCCCAGAGCATTGCACCAGCAGCGCAGGGAGCTGAGGCTGCGAGGGAGAGGGAACAGTAGGGGAGGGGACCGGGGGCTAGCTTCCCAGGCCAGATGCTCAGGGGCCGGGCACGAGGATGCCCTAGGTCCTTCACGTCTCCTGTGGACTAGTCAGTAGAGGGGGGCCAAACCCCATCGCCTCCTGGCCGGGTCACACCTCACACTGGAGCTGCCCCCGGTGTATGGAGTGAAGGAGGCCAGGGCCACAGGAGGGAGACCCAAGAGCTGCAATGGGGATCCCACCCACTATTGGGAGTGAGTGGCCACACCCCAGTCCCCTGAAGCGCCTGCCATGGAGTCTCTTGGAGCAGTGGCCTAACACCCCCTTTAAAAGGACAATGACCACGGTTGGCCACCATCCCCATTGCCCCGAGGCCCACGGGTGACACCCACCTGATTTCCTTTTTGGGGTAGGCCTCCGGCTTCACCTGCACCGTCACGGGCACCCGCTGCTCGGCCAGCCAGCCAGCACACTCCCGCGCCAGCTCCTTGTCCCCGCCCTCGATGGCCTTAGCCAGCTTCAGGGCCAGCTCCTCTGCTGAGCACAAGAGACCAGGCTGGACTGGGCCCTACTGGGGGGTCTCCTGGCTCAGGGCCAGGGCAGGACCTGCTCAAAGAGCCATGTGGGCTCCATCTAGGGCCTGGCAGGGGAGCTGCTGGGAGCTGTTTGCAGCCCAAGTTGCTAATTACCATAGACGAATATCATTATTTAGATTTATGCAAAGATTGGGCGGTCCTTCCATGGCTCTGGGGGACCCCCGTCAACAAACTGCAGCCCCACACTGAGCTGTCTCACAGAACAATGAATCCCCCTCCCAACAAACATCTGCTTTCTCTGCCCCCCATCTCCGCCAGCGTGTCCTGCAGCATGCCCATTTAGGGATGTCCAGGCCAAACCTCCGTGCACCGGTGGGCATTTCCCTGGACCCCCACACGGACCCCACCTTTCTTCGTCGTCTCCTCCATGTATTTCGTCCCCATCCCAGCAGAATCCCGGAGCTGTTTAAAGCAAACAGAAGCATGTCAAACCCAGGCTGGGGGAGCGGGGCTGGATGCCAGGGGCCCGGTGCAGCCGTTGCATCCCCCCGTCAGGGAGCCCAGCCACCCAGGGCGAGGGCGCGGTGCTGCTAGCCTCCCCCGAAGGCAGCGGGAGAGTCCGGGGCTCCCCGGGGCTCTGTGCTGGGCTTGGCGTGGCCCGGGCAAGCGACCCGGGTAGGGTCACATGCACCCTCCCTTCCCACTAGCCATGCACCCGCTTAGCTCTCCCCACCCGTGCCCCAGAGCTCCCTCTTGTGTTCTCCGGTGCGCATTACGCCTGCTCCATCCCGCTCTACGCTACGCTGGGCCCAGCAGCCCCCTGCTCCCAAAGCGAGGGCGGGCGGGCCGCAACAGTGCTGTCCCAGCGCGGACGTACAGGCCCAGTGGCTGCCTGGCCCTCCTTTTAAAAGTGCTTTCCCAGCGGGCGTGTGGGCACCTTTGTTTCCCTGCAGGAGTCAGTCCCGTTAGCCCAGCCCTGGATCAGCCCAGGTGCAGGCAGTGCTTTCAGGCCATGGCCCTGCTGGGTCTTGCAGGCCCCCCCTGTGCTGAGGCGAGTCCCTGCCCTGCATGCCTCAGACCCTGATCCCCGTTCCTGCCGGAGGCTGGATGGACGAGGCCAGGAAAGCGCTGACAGCGAGCTGGGCGCTGGGCACCACCCAGCAGGTACAAGCCCTGCCCCGCTGACCTTCCAACCCCAGCCACGTTTGCCAGCCGCCCTGGTCAGCACTGCAGGCCCTGCAGCTCGCCGAGCCGGGGCTCTGCCCCGACCACAGCCCCCGCTGGCCCACGGAGCAGGAAGCTGGACTCCAGGCGTGCCGCTCGCAAGGCGGTCGGCCCGAGGCTACGTGAGCAAGCGGTCCCTGCATGTGGCTCTGCACAGGCCTGACAGACCTCTCCCCCGAGCACACGGCAGCAGGAAGAGGAACTCGTCAGCAGGGAAGCCTGGCAGGCACAGAAAAACCCACACCGCCAGGCTGGAGAGCAAAAGCCGCCCCCTGAGTGTCCGACCTGGCTGGCTCACTTACCTCGCGGAGCCCTGCACCAGGGGCTAGACACTGGGCAGGGGTCAGGGCCAGCTGAGAGCTCACCACTGAGTGAAGTGAAAACTGAAAGCAGAAGCGGAGAGATGAGGAAGTGAAGCCAAGGCCTTGAAACAGGGCTGGGCTGAGAGCAACAGGAACAAAACCGCAGAAGCAGCTGCAGGGGACTCAGAAACCGAAAGTGCAGCTCCCCAGCCCTCCCACGGCGCGGCACGGCGCGGCCCGCCGGCCAGCTGAGAGGAATCACTAGGTGCTCCCCCACCCACAGGCTGCGGAGCAGTGGCTCCGACCCTCTCGGCCTCCCGGGGATTCCCATTCACCGCGAGCCACCTGGGGAGAGCCATGCTGGGCTTTGAAGCAAGGGAAGGGGAGGCCTGCCCTGAAGGCGCCATCCCAGGGCTTGGCAGGGAGTTGAGGCAGGCTGGGACAGGACTTTGGGAGGCCTAGTGAGAGCTGCGGCGCCATCCAGCCCCAGGGTCACCTTCCGTGGAGCTGCAACAAGAGGAAATTCAGCAAAGACAGATGCCAAGTCTGACACTTAGGAAGGAAAAATCAAATGCCCGGCTACAAAATGGGGCCTAGGTGGTGGTGGTGCTGCTGGGGGTCACCGAGGCTCACCAGCTGAGCGTGAGTCAATGTGATGCAGTTGTGAAAAGAGCTAAATCCTTCCTGGGTGTTAACAGGAGAGTTGTACGTAAGGCACGGGAGGTCATTGTCCTGCTCTACTCAGCACCGGGGAGGCCTCTGCTGGAGTCCCGTGCCCAGTTCTGGGCACCCCACTTTGGGAGAGATGTGGACAAATTGGAGAGAGTCCAGAGAAGAGCAACAAAAATGGTAAAAGGTTTAGAAAACCTGACCTGTGCGGACAGGTTAAATCAACTGGGCACGTTTCGTGTAGAGACGAGAGCCTGACCCAGGGACCTGGTATCAGTCTTCAGATGTGTTAAGGGCCGTTATAAAGAGGCCGGAATCGGCTCAGTTGTTCTCCACGTCCACTGAAGGCAGGACAAGGAGGAATGGACGTAATCTGCAGCCACGGAGGTTTAGGTTAAATGGTTGGAGCTTTCGGACTCTAAGGGTGATGAAGCTCTGGAACAGGCAGCCGAGGGAGGCTGTGGAATCCCTTTCCTTGGGGGTTTCTAAGGACAGGTTGGACAAATCCATCAGGGCTGGTCTAGGTTTATTTGGTCCTGCCACAGCGCAGGGGCTGGACTGGATGAGCTCTCGGGTTCCTTCCAGCCCCACATTTCTGCGATTCTATGCTGGGCCTCACATCAGGGCTTCTCTCCCTTTCCCGTACCGGGCCCCCAGCCCTGCGCACGCTGAGCCAGGAGGAACAGGCAGGTGGAGAAGCCCTGACTTAGTCGTGGGGTGTTCAGTCCCAGCTCCCAGGGATGTGGGTAGCAAGACAACACGGCCTGCTGGTAGGGCTGGGTCTGTCTGTACGAGGGGGAGCCCCAGGGCTGGGACTGGCTGACTGCTAGAGGGAGCCCAGGGCTGTGTACTTATCAGCGAACAAAGGGAAGTGTGAGTGAGACAAGGGGAGAGGGGCGAACCCAGGACCAGCCCCAGGGACGCCGGACAGCAGGTGGAGGAGATGATGTCCCCTCACCTAACGCAAGAGGTTATGGGTCAGCGGCGAGCGATTCCGAGGGGGCTCTGCTGTCCTCTTGCACCGGCCGGGTTGGGCTGAGGAGCGGCCCGTTGCCCCTTCCTGCGCAGCTGCATGGACAACCTCTGAACCTTCATCCTTCACCCCATCCCACGGGCCAAACTGCTCTCCTGCCACCCCAACTGGGGGCCGTTCCCGGGGGCCGCTGAGAGCAGGATGT